AACCGGCCCCTCAAACATTGGGAACATGAAGAGGAAGTCGATACAATCATCAGGGTTCGACAGCCGTGACAAAAAACTCAATTCACGAGTCTATATATAGGAAAAACCAGCCTATGCGCGTTGGATACCTCCCCTGCCGCAGAACCCCGAGCCGAAACACCACGTTCCAGTGGTGACAGTCTGATAACACCTTCCATCTCACCTGATGCTGAATAGAGGTTGACGCAGCCAGCTGGTGTGGACTTATCGGTCGCGATTCAACCTCGTGGCATTCCAGGGGTCGAACCAGCAAGAAAACGCCGATTCGAGGTCCAAAACGGGTGCTTAGACCAGGTCGAAGAGCGTTTCTTGGGCCTACTAAGCGTGCCCGACAATGTGGTATCACTTTCGGGGACTTTCAAAAAACGGCCTTTCTCCACCATTTTCATGGGCTATAGCAAGGCAAAATGGTCAGATTTTGCCCAAAACGAACCGGCCCCTCAAACATTGGGAACATGAAGAGGAAGTCGATACAATCATCAGGGTTCGACAGCCGTGACAAAAAACTCAATTCACGAGTCTATATATAGGAAAAACCAGCCTATGCGCGTTGGATACCTCCCCTGCCGCAGAACCGAGCCGAAACACCACGTTCCAGTGGTGACAGTCTGATAACACCTTCCATCTCACCGGATGCTGCATAGAGGTTGATGCAGCCAGCTGGTGTGGACTTATCGGTCCCGATTCAACCTCGTGGCATTCCAGGGGTCAAACCAGCAAGAAAATGCCGATTCAAGGTCCAAGGCTGTCTCTCAGTATCGCGGGACTGAGGGGAGAGCCACCAACGCTTGAGCTGAGCAGAACAGAGCCCCAGGAGAGACATGACACAGACTCGTGATTGAGTCTGGGAATGGACTCTCCTGACCACCTCGGAGCGGGCGGGCGGGGCAACCAAAGAGCAGTCTTGTTACACCGATAGAAGAGAGGTGGATCAAGACAAACAAAACAATGGGCTCTGCGACTCAAGGTTGGTGATCCTCGTGGAAGAGCACTGGCTGGATGAATCAGATTGGGGACTCTCGTATGTCCGTCATCCGTCTTGGCCAGAGAATCGCTTCGCGATTCCCTTCGGGCGACGGACTCCCACCTTCTTCGGTCGGAAGTGTGAAAGCATGTGTCTGGGGCAAAGCTGGTTGGTTGTTGGCTGTCTCTCAGTCTCGCGGGACTGAGGGGAGAGCCACCAACGCTTGAGCTGAGCAGAACAGAGCCCCAGGAGCAAACAACATGCACACAAGACCGCTTGAGGTGTCACGAGAAATAGTTGGTACTTCTCTCACACGTACACACCAGGCAAATGGGCCACCGGAAACAAATGAAGAAAACAAAAAAAAGAAGAAAACAGAGGCTTCGTGCTCAAAGCAACGCGCACGAGAATGCAGGACAAAAAATATGAGAACATGCAGCCTAAAAGAGACAGATGCTTGAGAATGCGAGGGAATGGAAGAAGCTGGCTTGGATAGAGTCAGTGCGAGCAGAAAATGGCAGACGCATACTGGGTTCCCACATCATTCCCTTGTCGGTTTTTGGTGGTGGGATCATGGAACATGAAGAAAAAGCGGACCAGTTCTTCCATCAAGGAGGGGTCCGCCAGTGTCACATCCAAGACCTCAACATATCCTGATATACCACTGCAGACTTCACGGTATGTAGGAGGGATCTTGCGCTTCATGGGTGTTGGATTCATGAAGCCAACTTGGGCAGACTGAATGCTATTGGGATGTCTCTTTTGGAAATCGCGGACAATGAATTTTTCAGTTCCCCAGTAGCATCCTGCTGCCAAGCTAATCTTGTTGGACATGTTGCTGGTGTTATCGGTGGTGGTTGGTTGCACAGACATGGTGTTGTTGTTGTTGTTGCTGTTGTTGTTCTTGTTGGTGGTTTGTTGATTTGTGAGGGAAAGAGCTTGCAGACAGATGAGGGAGGACAGGGAAGGAAAACAGCAGGGGCACTCGCAATTTCTGTGCGTGGGAAGGAAGCCAGCTCCTGCATCCAGCGAGTAAAGTTTCCTGCGCAGACATTGGCAAACCTACCGTACACCATCCACGAGCTCATCCACGACAACGTGACTGCACGGGCTCTTCGAACCATGACCGGACCCTTCCCGGAGATGAGCCTGCAAAACTGTCGTGCGCGACGGTGGGAAAATCGTGAATGTTTAATCAAGTGGCGAGCAGCGGAATGATCAATTTTTGAAGAAGAAAAAATTAAAAACAAACTCTTGAAGTGGGAGGCGCCTTCAAGTATGTTAGTTGCACCCTGGTGACCCGATCAGATCAATCGATGGCTTCAAAAGGAGGGTTTCCCATTGCCTCAGCCAACAACGAAGAAGTCTTTCAAGCCTCAAACCTGTGGTACATGTAAAGTGCAGATTCATCTTCGATTGCTGCCGCACCGATACGCACCCCGCCAAGTCCCTGCTCCAGCTACCAGTAGCGATGGTTCTTCGAGGATAGACATTTCATGATCGGTGCTACGACAAGGATTCAACTAACAACGATTGTCTTCGTGAAAAGAGGATTCGTACTTATTGGTACCATGCATCAACAAGGAAGTCAATCGTATTTCATGTTCCTTGTTAGTTGGCTGCAAGTACGGGTGGCATTTTCTTTGCAGAGGCAACTCTTGAAGCGCCGTACTGAAGCAAGAGAGTCCATATCAGCATGCAGGCAGAAGAATTCAATTCTGGGACTACTTGTTAGCTGATGACAGCATCAACAGAATTTAAATGAGCTGCCGTGGTCGGTATCGGTAGTTCGCATTCAATGGGAACTCTCTCGTTCCGCAACCAGCCAACGATGTGTGCAACGACCAAAAAGGGAACGTGCCAACAAGTTGACGATTTGGCGGCACTCCCTGTTGACATGGAAAAACAGCACTCACATTGCAAGAAGTGCAAGAATAATTCAACAATCCATCCAACAGCAAAACCAAAGTCCGTGGAGTGACAGTCGAGCCGTCTAAAATGAGAAAGTACGTGTCACGCCAAGAGAGTACCCTGGGTCGAAGGAGGTCCAATATTCCCAGTTTGGTATGTGCCTTTGCGGCATCGGCCACCACTGGAGGCACCATTTATTGTTTTGGCGTCTTGGCCAATGACCTCAAAAAGGCGCTCCAAATCACCCAAATGCAGCTGGGAGCCGTCAGTGCGGCCTTTTTCATTGCTGGTCTAATTAGCTGGATTCCAGGAATGGTGGTGGACAGAATGAAGATGCGATTCTCCATGTCCTGTGGTGGTCTTTCCGGTGCTACATTTACCACCATATATTGGATTCTATGTCGTAACCCGGGCCTATCTCCGTTTTTCCGCGACCATCCTGTGGCCGTTCTCTCTTGTTTGGCCATTGCCATTTGCCTCAGTTGTGGGTTGATTGTGGGAACGTCTTCAAGCTCACACTTGTGCGGAGGACGCGATGGCAAGGGGCCAGCTGTTGGTATTGCCAAGGGCTTTGTCGGTTTGGGTTCAGGTGTCTACGCTACCCTTTTTCAAGCCATTCGAGATGACAACGAATCTACCTTGGACTTTTTGTTGGTGATTGCCTTCTTTTTCATTCTCAATGCAACTCTTCCAGCTCTATTTTTGCTGCCGCCCAAAGAGGAGTCTCATCCTCGATTGATGAGAATGGAAACTACTCCACTGCACTTTCGCACCATGTACGCAAGCCTGGCAGTCTTGTGCTTGTTCATTTTGGGAAGTGCCATTTGTGACATCTGGAGTGTTAGTGACGATCAACCAAAGGGCAGAAACTTTGGCAATGTACTGATGATCCTCATCCTCTGGCTTGGGCCCATTGTCTCCCTTTTGTACCTACCCCGAAAACGAGAGGAGGAGGAGGAGATGATTGATAACCGAGTCAACAAGCCTCCTCACTTCTGGCAACAAAGGAGAGGCGGATGAGGAGGATCAGGGGTCTCCAGGTGACCGTAGCTGGATCCCCGACAGTCCAGAAGAAGAAGTTCTCCCACCGCCACCCAAAGTGCCCAATGTCGTTGTCGATTTCCGAGCAGATCTCAGTCTACCCGAGATGTTGCAGACATCACCGGCTTGGATCATGTTGTGCATTACGCTAGTCCTTGTTGGCTCTGGAACGGCCAAGACTAACAACATGGGACAGATGGTCGAGGCTCTTGGCTTCACCGAGAGTGTGACCCCAGCCACGCTAGCCATTTTTTCGGTAGCACAAGCAGCGGCCCGCATATCGACAGGTATCCTGTCCGAGGCTGCCCTCAAATGGAGCAACGTGAGTGTCCCGTCCTTTATCAGAGCAGAGGACAGCAACGGTGGTATCCCCCGGCCCTTTTTCTTGGTGATTGCCTGCAGCATTTCATTGCTGGCCCACTTGCTGCTGGCAGCCTCGACCGATCTGGTTTCGTTTGTCTTCGGTTGTGCCATTTCAGCAATTGCCTTTGGCATGGCATGGCCGTTGATGGTCCTGATTGTGGGCGACGTCTTTGGAGTGGAGCACCACGGGGCAAACTACATGTTTTTTGACGGGGGTACCAAGGCTCTTGGTACCTTGTTGCTATCAGAGTTTCTTGCTGGATTTGTTTATGAAGCTCATGTCGACAATCAACATCACTTGGATCAGGGAGTCGACGGTATGCTCAACGCCTGTTGGGGCCCGCAGTGCTTCCGAGATACACATCTTGTGATTGCTGGCTTGTCTTTGATATGTATGGTGGCAAGCTTGCTTCTCTGCTATCAAACTCGGTTTGCCTATGGTTCTCCTCTGGCTAGGTGAAAGAGCTGTTTGTGGTTACTAAGAGCAGCGTGCAGCTCAACTCATCTACTGTACCGGTAGAAGTACTGCCGCACCAGTTTTGCTGTCATAACATAAAACGACAAGTTACTTTCTCGAGCAGCGCTTACGGGCTCTCTGAACAGCTCTCTGAACCTAAGACTATGTCAGAGCAGCACAGGAATCTAGTTCAAAGCTCTGTTGTCCCAGACCTCCATCGTCGGCGTGCTTGGGCCGTTCGGCGCTCTGATGCCCACTACCGGTGCTTACTGTCTATGAGGTGTCTTGAGTGGAAAAGTTGCGACAGAAGAACAGTGGTAAAGTTGTGACAGAAGAACGACATCGGGACACAACACTTGTTCGAAGGCCAAGGTTCCTTGCACGGCAGACGAATGCAAATCAAGGGACAGACTATCAACCTTCAGACCGGGAACTTTATTTCAAGTAGTCTAACCACCAAAGGTCAACCACAGCGAGACCGTGACTCCTACGATGGTACTCAACCATCGAGGCATGACTGATACTGAGGCGCTCAAGCTTGAACCAAGATTTTTGTTGTTGTCCCCTTGGTCCGACTTGCGTGGGAACTGTACGGACGGACTGAGGCTTGGACTGATGCTTGGACTAGCAGAATTTGTTGGTGTTGCGGTCGGGGGCGGTGCAGTGTTCTCCATTCGTACAATCTTGGAACCGGCGTAACCATCTCCTCTGGAGCCATCGCTGGAAATCAATAGTCGTCCACAGTCATCAAAGCTGACGTCAACCGGCCTGAAACCGTCATCCCATCTGGCATCAGGAGGTTCATGCTTCAATAAGTCATATGGATATTCCCCAATAGGGTCGCCATACTCATCCATTTCCACGTAAACAACTTTGTATCCAGTTGGGACGTCCCGGTTCCACGATCCGTGGTAAGCCATGAAAGCATATCCATTCATACTCTTAGGAAAAGCAACGTCAGGAGGGCAAGCGGCAGGGCAATCTGCAGGATCTTTCCATTCATAAAAGGTGATTCCAAGTGGAGCAGAATGACCCTGGAGAGACATGACAGGACGGACTGTGTTGTTGCGGCATTCATCATCTGTAATGGCTCCATCTTCCAAAAACGATGGCCAAGCCCAAACTGTTCCAATCCCTTCACCATAAGGAGGTGGAACCAAGAACTCAGTCCTAACAATTGCAAATTGGATTCAGTGAGCAAGCACTGGCAAGCAACCTCAGCCTCTTGCAGACGATGGGCGATACGGTACATACCAACACTGTGGGTATCCCCAGTGTTTGCCCTTGTCTGCTTCCTTGAACCGATTGAGCTCCTCTGCCTACAAAAAACAAGGCATTTGAAGGATCAGTTTGACTGTTTGCACGCTTACGTTGCATCCACGCCGGACTTACTGGGTTGTCTTCATGGATATCTCCGCCAATATCATTTCGAACTAGTCGGTCTGCCGAGTTCTCCACTCCCCACAAGTCTCCAAATCTGTCAAATGCCAATCCAACTTCATTTCTCAAGCCATCTGCAAAGACTTCTCCTTCCAGAAAATCTAGTGGGAACACTGATGTGTCATTGCCCCAATCAAATCGGCGAATCCTGGAGCGAAAGCTATCTGCGTCAACATTCCCATTGGAACCAACAGACACGTAGAGCCTTCCCTCTTCGTCAAATTCCAGGGTTCGAGTAGTGTGACCAAAGGGAGCTCCTCCCATTCCATCGGCATTGATGTTGTAAATGACAGTTTCTTGATCACCAACGTCTTGGAGGAAATCTGTCTCATTGATCGGCCAACGGTAGACATTGGTAGAGCTGGAGGCATAAAGGTATCCTTCCTGTATTGCAATTCCATGGTTGAGCGAGCTTGCCTCTGCAAGCACCTGGCGACTATCAGCTAGGCCATCTCCATCCGAATCATAAAAGTACACCACAGACTGCTCTCCTCGTTCCAAGGCAATGAAATCCGAGGTGCCCACCGAACGGATGCTTCGGGCTTGATCAATCTCTACCGGTACCACATAAGCACAAAAGTTGGGAGCTACCCATGCCTCCGGTATCACAGTCACACAGCTCATCCTAACAGCGAATAATGATGAAATGTATAGCGGAGTTGGAAGTCTCTGCTTCTATCATTACTGCTTGTCAAGTTTTCAACTCTGTGATCTTTCCCACGCGGTGCGTGGTTGTTGACTTTTGTGCTCGGGTGGAGTTTAGTCACTCAAAGCAGTCGTATGAAAAGGCTTCTGAACTTCGAATCGAATCGAATCCTTTTCCTTAAACCCTCATTTATCCTTTTCCTTAGTAAGCTCTCGCGATCTTCTCTTCAACCACCTCTCTCTCACGTTTTTCTCGCGTCCTTGGTCCTTGCCTCCAAAGCTCTTCTAATCTTAAAAGCGACTCTATCTCTGTGTTCTGTGGTGCTACTAAGCTACTACCATCGTCAAAACCCAAGTGGAAGTCCAAGGCTTGGGAGAAGATCTGATGAATAATGAACGAACAAAGATGGCTGAAGTTTCAGCTGAGAATCTCATTAACCATGGCATTGCTGCTGAACCAAGGGTGTCTTCCGTGGACTGGTCCCAACAGAGGTACCAGCACTCGCAAGAAGTCTTCCGCGCAAACCAAACTACACTATAGTGAGAATGTAACGACTGATATTATTTCGAATGGTAGAGTCCCTCGTAATCAAAGCGGTGTGGATGCGTTTTCAATTCTTGACGACGAAAGTGACTTTGATTCCATTTTGTTTGCTGCTGGCGACGAGCGCCAGGCCACGGTATCGTCATTGCCAACAGTGGCACGTCAACCCACCAAAAACTCATCCACACGGTCTCTGCAAGATTCAGTACATCAAGCGATAGACCAAGTTCACGGAATTATGGATCTATACGAGCTGGCTCCGCAATCCGTGGCATCAGAGATTGTCATGGCAGCCGTGGACGGAGTCATACACAAGATATCCAAGGACAATGCACACTTACATGGCGACGGTTGCATTATAGAAAAGCTAGAGGCACTGGTCTGGAGATCCTCGACACTGCAGGTGCCGCTGGGATCCATCATGTCATTGAAAATGCTGTTGACTATGCAGCTTCAAGCCCACGAGTGGTTTAGTAGGCGGCAATCAGCAGACTCTAACCAACAGTACATTGACAGAGCGGCCAAGATCCTGCTGCAATATTGTCAAGGATCATCATCTATGCCGCAAGGATCCTTCCTCTGGCCGAATGAAGACATACGAAGTCTCTTTCGATTTGCCACGACAACCACCACGGGGATGACTAGTTGTCTCTGGGAACTGTTTGAATACCTTCATGAACATGTACCACACCAGATACAGGTACAAGAGATTCGGAGAGAATGCTTCAAAGTCTTGGCCATCTCAGGAGAGTTGTGGTCCAAACACCAATACAAACTCTTGCTAGATCTGGAACAGCAGTACCTAGCAACCAACAACACGCGCCACTTGGTTGGTGATGAAGAGCTGGGTCTAGCACTCTCTTATGCCGCTACTGCAGGTGATGCACTGCTTGCAACGTGGCTCTTTCGCAAACTCTACCCGAGAGAAGGCAGAAAGCAACGGTTGTGGGGCTTTCTACTTGAAGCGTATGCCAACAGCAACGAAGAAGGCTCCATCGCCTACATGGAGCAACTTGTGCGATCAGAAGAAGAGACACAGCACAGAGACTTGTACAACATTGTCCTCAGAGCACGAGCAAGACGAAGGAGTCCTGGGTCGGGGTTGCTGGCAGAAGAGTTTTTGATGCACATCGAACATCTCATGAATGACAGTGAACCTACCAAGAAGTCATCCCTACAGCCAAACATGGAAACTGCATATCACATTGCCTCTGCCTATCTATGGGAAGAACCATTGACCTTTCGCAACGTCGCAGACGCTGACAGCAGTGTCCGCCGCCTATGTTCTAGCTACAATCTGACTCGGCAATCCAAGCAAAGATCGTGGCCTGTCTTTGAGGAGTTGCTGGATTACTACGCCGAGCTCGCTCAAAGGGGGGACCACAGAGCCATACCGTCAGCGATAGATCTTTGTCGTTTCTATCTTTTGCAGCACCGGGACGAAAGGATCCTCGAAAGCCCCTCATCGAGGCACCTCGAGTCAATTTTGTCAGTGTTGAATCAAATGCCCCTTCAACGCAACGCAGAAACAAGTGTGGAGTTCTTTCGGTTATTTGAGCAATTAGAACAAACTGATCTGGTCTCGGTTGCCATCATCACCACCGAAGCCATTTGCACTTTACTGGACACGTTGGCCAGGAGTGACGAAAGAGCAAAGTATGGTGATCTCGCGGAAGAGTTGTTCGAAAGAGCCTTGGAAGAAGCAGATGAGCTCCAGGCCGACGAGATTGAGACCTTGTCGAAACAGGTGGCTCGGTGCCAAACCCGGACAGAACCCGCAGTCAATCCCTCCCTTCAGACATGAAGCATGTGGCCAGGCCAGGAGGACACCGGGGCCCAAGCACGCGAGCGTAGTAGTCACTGGAGCCACAAGCTTTTGTTCCTTCCCTTTAGTACCGGTACAAATGCGCAAACGCTAGATTGAAAATAATTTCTATCAGGAATGTAAGTTGCTCTGGTAATAATTGAACTGATCCCTGCTGAATACCGGTATGTATAGGCTCGTTGATTGAAGATTGATAAACTGAATACACCCAAGCTTGATTCCCTTAGCCAGTAATAATATCGTTTTTGTATGGGTTCATTCCCACCGAAGAAGCGAATTGCGAGCATTGATTGATTGGAAGATTGTTGATGGGAAAAAGGCTGGCTGGTGTCTAGCGGGAAGGACGTCCGTTCTCTTCCACGCGAAATTTGCAGACCGGGCAACACGCATTCGTTTGGAGCCACTTGTCGACACACGTGGCATGAAAGCCATGGAGACACTGCAATGTCTTTCGAATCTGCCCTTGTTCAAAATCTTCCAAACATACGGCGCACTGCCGTGCTCCCTCTGGCAAATCAATGGTCCCGTCTGCCTTGGTCTTGACTTTGGCAGTGGGAAGCGACGAGATGAGTTGTATCGAAGCGCCCAGGTTTTCTGTTCCGTCACCAAATGCAGAAAGGAGTTGATCATAAGACATGCCATCCACTCCACCAGTACCAGCAGCTCCCAATCCTCCGACCCGCGAAGCCAAGAGAGCTTGCATGACAGGGTCCGATATAGCCGAATGAGAGTGTCGAGAATATCGCATCGACCCATGGCGGTTCGATTCCGACACCATAAATCGTCTACTACCATCAGGGTTGGTAATCTCCGACACACGGAAACTGGCGCGAGGTTGTCGGGTAGCGCGTTGGTTAGCCGAGGAGCCAAAGCTGGGATAGCTCGGTTGCCCAGTAACGGTGGAAGATCTCGCTCCTGTCAGGTTATCCCAATCGGACGAATCATTTCGTACGGTGTGACGGCGTCGGCTAGCTGCTGATGGACGATCCGGGCTTTGCATGAATTCGTTCAAAAAAACTCCACTGACGGCACCCGCCACAGACCCATCCAATGCCCCACGGCTCATACTCTGTCCCCTCATGTAGGCAGCAGCTCCGCCTACGATTCCTCCAAGAAGAGCTCCTCCACCCATCGCCGTAAGTGGAGAACCGCCAGGAGGCATTCCACGAGGAGGAGAGTCCCAATCCCCACCAATGAGCCGTTCACGACGAGTCGGATCGGGAGGGCGGACGCCATCCGAATCTGTTTGCTGCTGTGGACGATCGGTGGCTCCTTCCTTTCGGGTCTGACACATGACACATACTGTCACATCCTTGTCATTGAGCAAAGTGCATTTCTTGCACGCCCACTCATCGTCTAGAATTTCCACCACATCCTGATCGACCACTTCCACGCTGTCATCGTGACTGTTGTCGCTAGTCTCAATAATTTCCACTTCATCGTCGTCATTGCTGTCCACGTCCATGGGTTCCACATCACTGGAATAATCGTCATCGCGCTTGAGGCGTCCTCGGCGACGGCTAGAAGGAGGAGGAGTAGAAGGGGGCGGATCTTCACGCTTGCGGTTTGCAGGAGAAGTCAAATCGACAACATCATTGTCTTCTTTTTCTTCTTCATTTCTGGCTGAACTTGCTCGAGCGTATCCAGCGCAAGCCATGAGACGATGCATTGTCATGTTAGTTTCGGGAAGTTGTTTTCCGCAATCATTGCAGGTGATCATCTGTACGCTTGTTGTGTCTGTCATGGTGTATTTTTTGGGAATGAAGTTTTGATCGATTGTGTTTCTTTTTTTATAATGAGGTGATGCTTTAAACACAAGAGCAATCAGTAATGATGACCTACGAAGAAGGTCGGAGAGTGTGTAATTCGTGGTTTCTGCGCTTCCAGCTGTCAGTGCCGTCGCTTGCTGTGTCTTGATTTGTAATAGCACAACAGGTTTCGCCGCTCTCTGTTGTTGCTGGTTGTTTCGATGCGGAAGAAATGAGATCATCGTTGGCAAATCGAATCAAATCGAACAAGTCCGTTTGGCGCCTTTTGACGAGCCAGCCAGCTTCCAAAGCGAACCTCATTCCGTGCACGTATCAGGTAGCCCTCTCCCTATTTGACGACTGACGTCATTGTTTTCTTCTCGGAAGTCGGAAGCACCGCAAGAAACGAGAAAGATCGAAAGAGACAACAAAAGAAAGAACAAGCAAGACGAAGGGATGCCGACGAGTCGAGTCTCCGAGTCTCCGAATCTACCAGATAATAGTAAGAGAAGACATGATGAGACTACTGTCGTTGCTCCTCCTTGTCGCAATACCAACGCGTTGTGTGGCGTTTCTTCCATCGACTTCTACTACTAGAAGCAGTCGTCCTTCACGACCACTGTCGGTCAAGCCACCGGTGCTCGACGATGTCTGCGAAACTATGGGTGTCACATTGACCCGGTTCATGAATGAGGTTGCCATGTTGAATCCAGAACTAAAAGAGTTGACGACTATTTTTGGCGCCATTGATACCGCCTGCAAGGCAATATCCAACGAAGTGAAACGATCGCAATTGCCCTCTAGTGAAACGCTGGGGTATCAAGGAGCAGTCAATGCACAAGGAGAAGATCAAAAGGTACGACATGGATCAGGGGAAGTGCAAGGCTATCAGGTTGTTTGGATGCTTCTCGTGAAGATAACTACTTCTAATTTGAAGCCTTACTCACACTGGAATTTTGATTTTATCAACTTGGCACCTTCAGAAATTGGATGTCATCACCAACGATCTTCTCAAAAGGGCCCTTCGTTTCACTGGGAGACTGGGAGTCCTGGCATCGGAAGAAGAGGACACGCCAGTAAGTACAACATTGTTTTGCATGCAAACAATTTCAAGAGGAAACTTACCTATCAATCCATATCCTTTTTGCATCGCTGGTCTCATACGGTAGGTGGATGTGATTGGAAGAAGCACGGGTAAATCTGGCTCCCTGGAGATTGTTTTGGACGAAACAACCGACTATGTGGTCTGTTTTGATCCTCTCGATGGGTCCAGTAATGTAGATGCTGGAATCCCAACAGGTACCATCATTGGTAAGATCAGTACCCTTGTTCAGGGTGTGTATCTGCTTCATGGAGTACGAATCTCATTCCTCATGAATTCCTTCTTTCATTTCATAAAGGCATCTTTGAGCACGACGAAACGTGTGAAATTGACTTTGACAACATTGGAGAAGACGAAGCTGCAGAACAGGAAGCTAGGTGCTTGGCGAATACGTTACAACCGGGGACAAATCTTGTAGCAGCAGCCTATTGTCTGTATTCCTCGTCCACCTTCTTGACACTCACCCTGGGCAATGGAGTGTACATGTTCACATTGGATGAAACCATTGGCGAATTCATTTTAGCAAAACCCAACGTACGCATTCCGGAAAGCTCATCAATTTACTCCTTCAATGAGGCCAACTTGGACTACTGGGACGAGCCAATGAGGGAGGTTGTAGAAAGATGGCGCGAGGGGACCGGCAGGAGCGGAGTACGCTTCTCCAGTAGGTACATTGGTTCCATGGTTGGAGATGTACACCGAACACTGATGTATGGTGGTGTCTTTGGATATCCCGGGGATACCAAGAACCCCAACGGGAAGCTTCGACTCTTGTACGAAGGAGCACCCATGGCTTTCATAATGGAACAAGCCGGGGGCCTGGCAACCACTGGAACGCAACGCGTGATGGAAATTACGCCCGAAGTTGTGCATCAACGGGTTCCTGTCATCATGGGTTCCAAGAACGATGTTATAGAAGTTATCGAATGCTACAAAACAGCTGCGGCGCCCTTTTCTCGGGCCGCAGCAGCAGCATAGCATCGAACAAATAAATTTACTTGGAGCTAAGAATGCTGTCATCATGTAGTTTTCTCGAAAACCGTATGTACAAGTACTTAATGATGTAGTGCCACTATTCCCGCTTGGTCTCTACTTTTCCACCGAAACCTCGCAGCTGACGAAACATCAGATCCAACCTGTTTCTGCCTCTTCTACTCTTTCAGGGCGCAGAGGCATGCATCACTGGAGGTTTGATTGGAAAGGAAGTTGAGACGAATGATCGCTGCCTCCAATTTGACGGCTGCTTGTGGAGCTGGCGAGATTTTCTTTTAAAAACCTTGGTTTACTAGAATTTTCTCTAACAGTATGGAAGTATTGAGGTATGGATGAGTTTCCACTTTGGGATTTTCACAACCAGCAGTGAATGTGTCACTGCTGACAGATTCGACTCACAAACGCATTCTAATACATGCATGCATGCATGCAGAGCCCCGCTCTCTGCGAACGTGTAGCTTTGGTGGTACCAATCTACTCTTTCAGATTCACAATCAACGAACATGGATCCGCATACGCCGCACATTCCGGATTGTCCGTACAAAGTTCACCGCCCACCAGATCAACGTCATTCCAACAACATTCGGCTGGCAAGCAGGCATCTCGGCACCATGCCATGGCTTCTGGAATGACCTTGTCGGTAGTCACATCCACGACCACATCAAGCGCGCACAATTGTTCCAAATCCGCCATGGGTGCGGGGACAAAGACCTCGGAAGATTGTTGTTGCCGTGCCCCGTTATTATTCCCGCTGTTGTTACTGGTCTCCAAAATGATATCGTTGGGAAGATTGAGAATGGAACAGGCTTGAATGTAGGGATGACAGTCGTCCTTGTTGTCGTCGGCACAAGTTGCTTCCTGTTCGGCACTCCAGCAACAGGCTGCCTCGTTACAACTTCGGTCACGCCATGAAATCGATTTCACCGGAACAGAGATAGGGCAGATTTTCTGGGGCCGGAGGAAAGATATGTTCAAGTTCGGGGGTTCCGACCCCAGCGCTTTCGTGGGTGGTGGTGGTATGGTGACCAGGATGATGATGTCCGTGATGACCGTATTGATTCGTTGGCGCTGCCGATGGGGCTTGGGTAGTTTCGAGCTCTGCCGATGGGGCTTGGGTAGTTTCGAGTTCGAGTTCTGGGGTTCCAACTCCAGCACTCTCGTGAGGCTTGGAAGTGGTGGTGGTTTATGGTGGCCATGGTGATGGCCGTGATGACCCCATTGGTTGGTCGGGGCTGCTGAGGGAACAGCAGTGGGCCACCGTGTTGGAACCACCGCCACGGGAGCTCCGTTTGACGACCGAAGAAGAAGTGATGTTGGTGAATGTTTCATTAAAGACCTGGGGCAACTCGGAAATGGAGCGATGATTGATGACCACGTGATAGACGATAAAGCCCACAAGGGCTACCTTGAGGGTACAGAGGAGACAAAATAGAAAGCGACGCCATTTTTGACTCTTTTGTCTCTTTTCCAGTTCCTCCATGGTATTAAAGTTGTACTTGACATCGACTCGCATTTCAATTTCTTCGAGCTCATCTTCAAATTTCTCGGGTGACAAGGCAAAGGGTCGACTGCTGGAATCAGAAGCTTTGGAATCCGGAGTATTAACGTTGTTGTTGTTGGCGGTCTCCTCATCCGTGGCCCATGGATCCTCCACTTTGGCGGGCGTTCGCACATACTTGGCCGTGGCGGCGGCAAACGGATCATCGTCCTCACTTTCCGATACGTACTTGTCCATCATTGGGGGCAACAAACTGGCAGGTGTTGTTTCTACTGCAACTTGAGCAGCTCCAACATCCTCTCCCAAAATCTGACTGCGACGCAGCGCATCTCGACTGGGAGTGCGAACGGGAGAATGCGAATTCTCTCGACTGCTTCCACCGCTGCTAGTGGTACTCCTGCTACTTGCATCCATGCTACCCACAGAATCCATGCTGCGAGTTCTCGTGGCCTTTTGGCTGCGCTTGTCGCGTTTCTTCTTGGCGCTGCGGTGCCTTTTGCTACTCGACATGAATTGTTGTCCCGGAAAGGCATCGGATGTACTGCTCGACTCGGACATGAACAAGGAGGGTCTATTACTACCGCTGCTAGAACCGATGCTACCATCATGACTCTTGCTGCGATAAGGGCTTCTCACAGGAGAGTGAGAAGGGGACCCGCGAGGAGAGTGCGTGGGGGTAGAATTACTGCTCATCATCTTGCCTTGACCACCTCGGTTTGTTTGCACTATGATAATAAAAGTGATGTTATTTGTTATGAATGGTTGTGGATTTGTTGCATTGGCCCAGTCTGTTTGGTCTTGAAGGCTCTGCTTATGAAAACCAATTGGGCGTACTGTAGTGTACTAGCTAGTAGATCTACTGTACTACCGGTACTAGTATGGTACATTGGAGCTGGATGTTTTCCTCAATGGTCACAGATCTATCTTCTTACGAACGAATGATCAGGCGGCTGTGCTGTGTGCGATTTGAAGCTCGACTGAATTGTTGTACTAGCTAGGCTAGCTACCTGGTAGCTAGCTGGAGTACCGGTACCACTCACAGCAACTCCCGCAATCGTCGAAAACCAAGGGAGAGCAGCACAGTTACAGTTTACCGGCAGGTGAGAGCCAAAGAGTTCTGAGTTGGCGGTGAGAGGAACCCCACTCAACTGCAATGAAGTTAGTCTTTCATAAATCTGGCGAAGCGCATGAATGGTAAGATAGCAAATAATGCTCTGAGTAGTACTAGCTAGTAGTGAAAAAAGCCGCTAAACGCCAGCTTGGCCGGATGATACCCACTTCAGGTCCAATTTACTATATTATTTGCTATTGCGGAGTCCAGGATGTAGGCGCGAATTGATGGCCTCACGTTGCTGCACCAAGTTGTTGTTGGAATGCATGCTGCGAGTACGGACGGTATCGCGAAGAGTCTAGCTAGCTACTAGGTCAGCAGCAGTGGACAAAAAACCGGAAAGGCCAGCCAAGAAACTATTAATAACATGATATCATTCCTTCGACGAGTCCCAGGTAGTAACTGCGCAGTTGCAGCGAATGTTGAATGGCTAGACTAGTTCGACTGCCGACGCTCCGCAGGGAGCACGTGCCCGCTTGTGCACAGGAGGTCATCAGCACGCATCCAATCCACTTCAGACAAGCAAACCAATGTTCTCGATCCAAATATTTTCTAAACCATACCCAAGTACATGTCCCTTTGTACTAACACGATCTAGCTAGCTAGTAAACGGGCCCTCTGCTTGTTGCAAACTAAAGCAAGCAATGGACCAACACATTGCTATCAATCGTTGGGCTTTGTTTCTTTGATGACCAAAGATGCAATGGTTATCTTCGATCTTCGACGTCCCGTCCTTTGGGTGCAGGATGAGGTCATTGTTGGATAGTATATATCCAATAATCCACTTCAGATACTCTTGCTTCTATTCCAGACCCAGCCACAATGCACTCGCTTTGTATTATCACGCCCTAAACGGGTATTAACTACATGGACCAACACATATGCACCTATCTTTGGGCTTTGTTCATTCAGAGCTATTGTGGGGTGACAAAAGGGATACCGTGATACCGTACCTGCTGGTACCGGTAGCTTGAGATATCTTCGATGTCTCAACACCACGGTAGGTGATCGTGACTTGGCGATGGAGGGAGGACTGGTGACTCAAATCGCAAACAACGACTGTCAACTGCCAATCTGCAAGAAGCCACAAGCAAGCTCTCTCCATTGTATCCACTTCCAAGATGCCCCGTTCCAATCGGGATGCTCTTGTCACTGTCTTTGTCTGTAGAGCCTTGCTGCTACTCCTCATCCTGGTTATTATTGGGTCTCATGAGATTGCTGGCTCATCTTCCGCCAATCCCAACACCGTTGGTGTGTCCGAGATTATGGGACGGTTTGGACTTTTGGGTGCCATCAAGCCAAATCCCTATGTGGCAGCATCACCACTGATCATCGCGGCCGAATGCTCGGATGGAATTGTCCTGATTGCCACACACACAGCATCCAAGGAAGAAAAGCTACTGCGTGTTTTGGAGGATGACGACGATGAACAAACACACAATCGCACTGTTTGGAATGAGTTTCAATACGGCCGAGCCGGTCCTTCCAGGATTCGACGAATCGATCGCTTTGGAACCCAGTTATTGTCCGCTGGATGGCGTGCCGATTGTGATTTATTGGGAGATAAACTCTGCAGCTTGGCTTCCAAGGAAGTTTCCCTTTTTGGACGGCCACTGTGGGGTTTGCCATATGGACGCCATTTGGCAGAGGAAGCTACCTATTTTCTGGCACAGCATGGAGTGTCACCAGTGGTACGTTGCAACGTTGCGATTCAAAACCAAAATGATGAAATGACATTCCTTGCGAACTGTTGACTGTGAGTCCATGTCGTTTTTTGCGTTATTCTCACAACTTGTGTGTGTCTTGTTTCAGCGGCTACCCAGTTGCATTGGTTTGCTGGCTGCCTGTGGGAACCGTGATGACAGCAATAATGACAATAACGACTATGATGATGGAGCCGTTGGATCGTTATGGATGATTGATGCCAATGGGTGGTATCGATTGAAAAGCCTGGCCGTGGGCGGAGGTCCAGCACCCGAAAACGACAAAAACTGCACCGTGCTGGCTCAACTGGTCAATGATCAATTGCAAGACTTGGATTCTCGTGAGATGACTACTGATGAAGCAATAACACACATTCTAGCCATTTTGGGTGGAGGAGAGGAAATTGATGGGAATGGCACTGCCCCTCTTTTGAGCCATGATTGTGAACTAGAGATTGCCTACACGAATGCCAAGACGGGTGGGAGATTACATCGACAGTCGTTGAAGTCGTTCACCACGGGGAGAAAGGAGCCAATATCATGACATCACGTGCTGTGACGCAGGAAGTTTTTCGTGCCGAATGGCTCCTAGCTACTCTCTAGCTAGCAAGCATGTACTTCAATCAATCCCTCTCTCCACCTCTTTCACCATAAGCTACGGTAGTATATTACCTAGCTAGCTAGAACAGGTTCAGCGACCTCGTTGTGGGGACGGTACCGAAAACCAAAGTCCAACCGTATTATTATTTGCACGCAGGCGACTGCTCTTCTACGTAGCTAGCTAGCTAGATTAATTTGGATCTTTGTGACAACCTCGCTGGCTGCCAGTAGCTGAGAAGCCCATCTCCCCATTTCGCTGGTCCCATTTCTTTTTCACTCCTCGAGCTCTTGTGCTTTACTCGTACCAGCAACTGTCATTATTATCTTGACTATAGAAGAACCATGACAGCAGTAGTAACAGACAAGCAGATCTCCTGGACGAGGATCACTCCAGAAGCCGATGCCACCCATGGCAAGCCTTGTACTCGTAGTTCCCATGGCCTCTCTCTGGTCCGAGGTGGCTCTCGTTTGATTTTGCTCGGCGGCGAGCATGTGGCTCGCACTCCCCTCGAAGGCAGCAATCGTTATTGGGCAGCAGACAAGACGGATGCGAACAAATGGCAATGGCGCTTGATTGCTTCGGCAGACTCGGGCCCTCCTGAACGGATTGCTCATGCCCAGGCAGCTCACCAAGATCAATTTGTTTACATTTTTGGCGGCCGCGCCGGAATTACCATGGAAGAGAAGGCCATGAATGATTTGTGGAAATTGGATTGTTCGGGTGAACCAGGAACCGAGACTTGGTCTCAGGTAGAAGCCACCAGTGGTACCCCGCCGGAAGCAAGGTCCTTTCACAAAATGATTTGCGTCGGCAACAATTTGTTCGTCTTTGGAGGCTGTACAGCAGGTCATGGTCGTGCCGCAGATTTGCATCGATTTGACTTGGAATCCAAGACATGGTATTCCTTGGGAACTTCGGCTCTCAGAGGACGTGGTGGACCCAACTTGCTACCCATGGCGGGTGGGACCAAAGTGGGAGTAGTCGCTGGGTTTGCTGGTGAGGAAACGGCGGATGGACAGTTGTTTGATATTGCTGCTGGCAAATGGAACGACCAACTGCTCGAATCCGAGTTGGAGGGAATGAGACCCCGCAGTGTTTGCGTTTCGGGATCATTCCCATCGTCGGGTTATTCCGTGATTTTTGGCGGTGAGGTGGATCCGCCGGATCGTGGCCACGAAGGTGCGGGTGCCTTCGAAAATGATGTGGTGGTATTGGATGAAACTAGTGGAGCTTTCCTGGCTTCGATAAAGGCCAAGGGTGGAGCCTGGCCACAAACCCGTGGTTGGTCAGACTCTGCTGCTGTAGACTCCGGTAATGGATCAGGCCAGCTCTACATTTTTGGAGGTTTGTCAGGAGATGACAAGAATCCAGAACGTTTGGACGATCTCTGGGTATTGGACGTACAAAAAGCTTAGACCAATATACGTTTTGGGCCTCCAGACGTCTAACTTGCTAGACTGAATCACAGCAGCATATACGTACACCATACTAATTCACACTGAATAAAACATTTATGATGGCTTTTAGTACCGAAGGTCATGGGGAGCAGGGGCAGTCACACCCGCAGAGTATG